AGAGACTGGTAGTTGAATTTTCCCAAAATGATATGAATAGACCTTACGTTTCCATTAAATTTTAAGAAACGCTAGGCATTTTCCCGTATCACATTTTGTGGTTGGATTGTCGATAAGGCAAAGATGTATTCTTTTATATCAATCGACTACATTTCTTAATTTTTCGTTTTATAAGAAGGTTTTCAACCTTAAAAACGAAAAAATGTAATGTCGTTGGTTGCTGTAGCAAATACAACTCTGATTCTGCAACAATCCCACCACAGAATGTGACTCAAGGGCCTATGTGGAAATGCTTGGCGTTGCGATAATGTGTCGAGATTATACACTGCACAGTCATGGTTCGAGTCTTGCTGGGGATGTTGAGAGATTATTTCAGGCGAGGTCGAAACTGCAGTCCCCTCCAGTTGTTGAATAGAATACCTTTTGGGAAAGCAAGGCTATGTGAAATTCAATGGAAACGTAAAGTCTACTCATATCATTTTGTGATAATCCAAATTCTAGTCACCTTTATCACCTTTAATGAAATAGGATGAGTACATCTCATTTATATGATTTTATGGTAGTCTGGAAAAACTGCTTATAAAACGAATATACAACTATTTCACCGGAGCCCTTCGAACCACAACACAATCAGTCATTTTACTATTGTTTTTCTAGCCCCAGCTTCTCCCCTCGAAGCTACCTTCGACCTGTCACGATTTTCGCGCGAGGTCGTTGATCTGTTGAAGCAGCAATCAGGCTGCCTCCTTCGAATGGACGACTTTGCAGATGCCTATCAGCGTCACTACAATCGGTCCTTCCAGGCTTCCGACTATGCCACAGGTTTAGGATGCAGACATCCTGGAGGCTGTTCAGCGAATTATGGCTCCGACACAGAAAATCTGCTTTCCATGATGCGTTGTGTAGACTCATTTATCCAGGTTTTGGACGAAACTTCCCTGCCCTGCTGTGAAGACGAGGAAATCACAGACGGTCAAGAATGCAAGCAGGTGAGTGATGAGGAAGACGAGGAGGCGGAGAAAGACGACGAGGCTGATGAACGGGAAAAGCATATAATTGAATTTACAGAAAAATTGACTACTCATCCAGCTACTGATCAGATGTCTCCTGAGTTGCCAATCTCATTTCAGGGCTCTTCGCTGCCCTGTGCGACTCCATCGAAGTCAGTGGGGCCGGTGACAAGGGAGCCGAATATAGCGAAGATTATTACACTGACACACCAGGTGCAAATGCGGCGGTTTGCCAACGAACTCGTCAAGGTTCTAAAGACACAAATCAACAAGACTTGTCGGTTGGCGGACTACCCCAGCCTCTATAAAAAGGTCTTCCGAAAGGTGAGCTAATTTTGTCAACATCAACTACTCTTAGTATATTTATTTTTTACGGTGCAAAAATGTTTATTTTAAAAAGGTTAAGAATGTTTGCCCTAATGCATAGGAGCAATCGTGCTGCCGCACAGATAGAGTATTATTTCCTTCTGCAAAGGAGATTTTCCTGATTAAAGGATGTCTCATAAATGAGGACTGTATCAGTTTGCATGTATATTTACTCAAACATTTGCCTTGCACTTTGCTTTTATTCTAAGAGAGTCAACGCTCGGACCTACACTAGCCGATGCCGTAGGTACTTCCAACTATTTTTGAGGCAGCGGATTAGGAAAGGTACAATTTTCGAACGCGTAATTAAGGACAGCCATCATGGATTGCTCATTTTATTATTTGTTGATAGAGCAGCTTAGACATGTACTGAAAGTGGTTATTCGAAAGTTTGTTTGAACTCTATACGAAGAAAAGTTGGGTTTCGAGGAATCTCTTGTTTCATAATTGTTGAGCTTACTTCCATTTC